AACTGGAACCGTAAACAGAGGTTCCTTGTGTTAGCAGTTAGACTGGACGGAGTCACTATCCCACGCAGCCTGGAAATTAAGAATGGTTCTTAAGGAAATAGCATGTGCTGGTTTCCAAAACACTTCTAAGTCTCTGAGGTTACTAAGGAAGGCACAAAGGTCAAACCAACGGTCTCCACTACTGGAGAATGGGAGAACAGGTAACACACATAAGGAAATGTTATTTTCCTGTTCTGTGACTGGTGTTTCCTGGTGCCTATGTGTAATGTGTATCTGTGGGCCCTGAAATGAAGCTTAGCTGGGAGTTCTGCATGAGGACATTATGCTTCTTAAATGTGTTTTGAGTAACCCCATTTCCATTCTCCACTGACACATTTTTGGCAGCTTATAGGCAGAGCCAAGCCCTGCAAAGCACTGAAGTAGGGGCAAAGCACAGTAGCAGGGGACCTACCCTTACTCTAACCACACAGATTTCCTAATTACTTCTTGCCCCCCATGGTTTCCTCAATGCTTGTGGAGTTTCAGAACAGAACTACTACTAAGAAATAGACTCCACCTGCACCAGCTGCTGGCTAACAGTTTCACTCCTACCTTCTGATCCACACTAACGTATATTTTGTCTAGTAGCATCAGGCACAAAGCAGATTCTCTTTTTCTTTTTAACCTCCTATCTTCTGGGAATACTCAGCTATTTATACTCCTGCCAGATGTTCTCAGAAGCCTTCTTACAGCATGTGCTCATCTTCCATCAACAACTTTGCATGCAAAGTGTGGGATCATCCCTGCAATCTGTACCAAGTTTTCCTGTGTCTTGATTTATCTCTTACCGTCATGGAGTCAAATGTGTTGTTTTAAGCCACTGCTGTTCATGCAGTGACTGTGAAGGATGGCAGAAGGCTCAGGTTTCCCAGTGCAGTAGCCCACAGTGCCAGGGGTCTAAGCAGCTTCATTTTCACCACTGCAGTACCAGTCCAGCTCCACATGATGCTGCAACACAAGTAGAAACTTCCTACCAGCATCCTGTTCTCAGGCAGGAACAGCAAAAGGAAGCTGTTTCTGGACTCACCAGCACCTCTTAATATATTTGCTGCATTGCACATGATGAAGCCAGAGAGCATTATGTCGCTGCAAGCATCTAATCTGTGCAGGCTTGTTAAATCTGTTTATTTACAGTCTGCATGCTCTTTTTATTTAACACAGGCTTCTCAATGATAAATCTTTGTTCTAAAATCAGCTTTCAAAGAAAAAGGCCAGTGAGAAATGGCCTGATTGGTATATTAAGAGAGGCATCTGCACCTCGGTGCTTCCCAGTTGTCTGTTGCTTAGTGGAATGCCTCAGCATGCAATTCTGTAATTCAAGTAATAAATAAGGCAGCTCTCTTTAAAGTGTAAGCAGCAGAGAAGTGGCTCTACTGGTAGGCAAAATGTGACAGCCATTCCTTTATAATATTTTTGGGTTGGGTTAAAGTTAGGAAATCCACAAAAGATCAAATCATACTTCACATTTTGCATATATAGTCCAGTGATAGGAAATGATTTGGGATGCTCACAATTCAGGATGCCCAGCATGAAGCATTTAAGGGAGCTGGTGAGTATTAAGTCATTTCTGAGAATTCAGCTTTCCTAGGATGTCATAGGAAAGTGCCAGACTTCAGTGCTGATGATCTGGTGACACCAAAGCAATCAGCAATTCAGCACAATTGAGTTTTATCTCTCTTCAGTCAATGCAATACAGCAACATCATTGACATACAAAATTACTAAATTGCCACAGCATTCTTCTGAGCTGCATTTTTGTAAAAATATTACAAACCCTGTATAACAAGATCAGGATTTAACCTCACTCCTGTGCAGACAGACCATATTCTCTGGCAGTATTATCACCGTGACTGTATTGCCACAGCACTAGCCATGATGGAAAAAGATTTTGAAGGACCATAAACAGAGAGGAGTAAGCAAACCTGAAAATGAATTGCATGACAGAAACTTCTAGAATGTCATTAATTGAGATAATTTACCTAAAAAAAAATATACTTAATGGAATTTATTTGTTGCTAATTCACACAACTTCTAAAGGAAGTGGTTATGAAAATCCAAGGTTTTTCCCATATTTTCCTTTGTTGCTGTTGTGAAAATCCAGTGCTTGAAATCAAAGGTGCTGTATAAGTAAGTGTAATGAGATGCAGGAAAAGGAATCTTGTAAAGTCTAATACAACCAAAATCATATAATACACCATGTGATCAAATCTCACTGGAGGCTAGAAAAAGCAATTTTATATGATTTGGTTATCATTAGACTTGTAAATCTATTCTTATAAATGCTACCATGTGCCAGTATAGATTAGTCATGTCCAACCGTCAACATAACTCACTGTTTGAAGAAATCTCTCAAACTTTGAAATAATTAATCAGAAATATAAAGTTACATGTTATTAAGTGACAGCTTTTTCGTTTACTCCTTACATGGATGAGCTGGACTTATTCATAAACTGAATTGATATGTATTGTGATTTAAATGTGGAAAAAACCCAAGCCCAGTCTGGAAAAACAGTTGTGATTTATTTCATGTCCTGTTGGCCTGAAGGTATAACAGGATGGAGATCTGCTTTAGGAAGCCCAGAAAGTGTGCAAACACTTTGCAGTGAGAGTTTAATCCTTGCTGATACTCAGACACAACAGCACTCACCAAGTCTGATGACACAGGCACTGGGCATAGTTCAGAACCTAAGACAATTCTTTGTTGGGGACACATCAAGTCACTGGCCATGTGTGCCACTGCAGGGCATTAAAGCAAGACAGATAGCACTTGCTCTCCTGTTATCCCCTGTCAGAAAGATGTAATATTACAGCTTTCTTCTGTGAAAATGACTGAGATATCTCTTGTTAAATCTGTCTTAACCACACTTGCACCTCTTGCTTGATTATTCCAGATTTTGTATTTTCTAGGTCAAGGCTATTTCACTGCCACTATCTGAGGCTGTCACCAAAAAGAGTTGTATTTTCAATTATAGAAATACATGGGATATCACACCTTTTGTTCATACTTGTCATGGAAATATTGCCAAGATTTAATCCATTCTTACGAGTTTCATTTCAGCCTAAACCCCCTAAGAAAACCAGCATGCTTCATCATGTAACAGTACTTTGCTGTGTGGCTTGCCACTCCTTTGCTCTAGAACCATCATCCCTATTTCTGGGAGGTTTTTTGTTAAAGAGTGTTACAAATTGTTTTACTAGGAGTCGAGGATATATTCATACCTATCACAGCAACTTCTTCACATTATTATTTCTCATTTGATGCTCACATCTCCAGGACTCTCTTTCACTGTGGTGTTTCATTGCTCTTCACCCAGCACTCACATTCTGCAACCTTCCACTTTCTGCCTCCAGATATTTGTGTCTGCTACTCCCCAGAGTACCTGTGGTCTGGGAACATGCTGTTCCACTCTGGGACACTGTGGTACTCCTAATTCAGGCAGCAATTTGCATGCTAGAATATGCCTAGTAGGCGTAGCAGACCATAAGATGTCTGCCACTGCTATGCATCTTTTGCAGGAGGATGGCAAAGGGAAAAGCAGCAAAGATATCTGTAATTAATTGTTTCCCCTTGAAGTAACAAAAAAACGTAACAAACAAGTGTGTGAAGTACATAAGACTTCTGGAATCTTGTGAACGTGTGGCAACGCAATGGTACATGCATAAGCTCTGCAGCAGTGGGCATTTATTCCATGCCTGGATTCAAGAATTGCTGATGCGGCTGGGTTTTATTTTCCATGGCAGTTTCAGTAACACTGACAACTTAAAAATGAACAACTTTAACAGATCAGTTTCTGGATTACGCTGGAGTGGGGTAGAGGTCTGCAGTTCCTTTTGAGCCATAGCTGTATTTTGATCAAGGCACATTAATATCATGACTTGATTCATAAATAATTGATGTGGCTGTTACACCATTTTGCCTTTGATCTTTTCAGAATGAAACAGAATCCAACACATGCAGTGTCTTGAGACATGTAAGCAAATAAAACTGAGGTATCAGCAGAATATATATTGACACAAAGGCAGGGTTTGACAGCACCACTAGTTTCACAGAGAAGAAAGTTAGTGTATGCTGGAAGTTCAAAATTATCAGTTGAAATGTCCTCAAATGAAAACTATTTTTACTCATAGTTGAGAGAATTCTTCTTAATAGAATATCAGAAAAGATATTTTTTCTTTTAAATCTTCTCATCTTCTCTATCAAATACAAATTTGGCTTCTACCTCGACTCTAGCTCAGCAATGCTAACTCCCTATCACTTCAAGTCAGTCCTCTTTTGTACAAAAGTAGAAATCACAGCCTTTCTCTCTCACATCAGTCTTTGGAGACTAATAGGGTCTAAGACTGCAGAGTTAAAAAGGTCTAAACCAGAGTTCTTAAACTGCACAGAATCATGGAATCAGCAAGGCTGGAAAAGACCTTTAAGATTATGATGTCCACCCATTACCTCCGGACTGTGAAGACCACCACTCCCTCTCTTGACCTTCAGTGGGCAACGTTTCCATTCTGCTGGTCACCTGTAACCCAAGCACCGTTATGGATCCCTTTATTCTGAAATGGTATCTCTATGCAGCACAGGACTTTTGCGTATATAGCCCATCACCACACACACATCTCACTCTTCAACAGGAAATTTTGCCTACATCTCTTACCTGATCCTGGTGTCAACCAACACTGTCCTTCTAGTCATGGCCATGTACACTTAAACAGGTTTTTATACATCTTAAATACCAGCAGAGCTATGTCTTTCCAATTCCTTCCTTAACATACTGCCTTTTGTTATAATATATACCAAGGAAAGAAAAAGGCAATAATTAGGCTTCTGCTGCACTATGATTATGACTTATTCTGCTGATTAACCTGGCCTGTCCCCAGCCGATCTGTTTAGTCTTTTGGACTTCAACTTCACTCATACACATAGGAACAGAATCTGTAGGTTATAATTATGAAGTATGTGATCATACCTTGGAATGAAATAATATTATACAAAGATCCTGGGGATGGTGGAGGAGAGTCATCAAAACCAGCCTGTTGATTGTGAACTTCTCTTACAAAGCTGAAAATTAACAGGCCAACAGCTGATGGACCTACAGATGGGGAATACCAAAAAGAAGCTTGAAGGTGGAGTATGATACTCAATATATGATATTGGTAAATACTGTATGTAGTTCCAGAACTGATTTTTAAATACTGCAAAAATACTGTTTGCATGTCACAAGCAGAGGGTATACCTTACTGTGAGACCATACTACTAAATAAAGAAAAGAAAAAACATTTGTTAAGTGCAGAAATTCTCAAAGGCAGCACAGATTTTTCTGCAGATAAAAAAGCTGAGTATAGGTTGTGTAGGGTTAGTGCTAGAATGCTTTGAGAAAAACTACGGTTGTTATAAATACTGATAAAGTAGCTGAAAGACATGAAGAAGAAAGAGGTCAGTCCTACCTGGCCATTTACTGCTACCCAAAAGGTACTGTAAGGGAAAACAATCTGTATCTACTTAGGTTTGTATAGATTTTTTTCTTCAAATCATGTGTTATTTACTGTAGTTGAAAGAAACCGCAACACACTGGTGATAAATGATCTACTACTTAAAACTATCTTGCATTCCTTTGCTTATCACTTAACAAACAGACACCTTTTATTAATATAGAAATGCGAGATTAATCCAGTATCACTGTGGGTCTTATTGGTTAGTTGCTTTTATTCTACAAGCAAATTATTTCAGCTCAGTACAAACAGCAAATCAATTTTCTGCTTACTGTCATTACCACTAATCAATAATTAATTGGGATTATTAACAATTGTTAGCATGGAATTTTTCTCCTCTGCACTTATTTAAATGACAAATTTATTTTGCTGAGAGGCTGGCATAAGACCGAGACAGCTGCATGGCCATGGAAAATAAGCTGAAGGAAAAGTTCAAGCTGAGAAGAAGATAGGACTTCTTATTAGTCTCAGTAAGCAGTCTACCTGCCCAGGGAAAAATTTAGCTGCTTTTTTACTTTTATATATTAAAATAGTGATATTAAAGTTTAGTCTACAAATGTGATGACTCAGTTGTCGCTTCGTTCTGCAGCCTCAATATTTAGTTGATTTAGTTGATTTTCTATTTAAAGATTAAATTCATTTTCAATTCTACATTGATAAAAATGCATTGGGGTCTATCCCTCATAATTTACTGGAAGCTAGCAAAGAAAACCCCACAGGAATGATATTGCTGTGACTATGAAACAGCAACCGACTCAACCTCTTTTAAAATAATCCCAAACCCAGATGAAAGAAAACTGCCTCACAATAGATGTTTCAGCAGTTATACATCCAATTTAAGGAAAGGAAAACTCTCTCAACAGATTATGCTCCCTGGGCATGTGAATTCTGCATCACAGATGATATCATGGGAGAAAAAAAGCACTTTAAAGTTTTTAGGATGTCATGTCCTAATGCAAAAGACTTTGTAAACAGAAGTAAAGCTTTAAGCCAGGGCTGTCAGCAGGCTTTCTTTAGGGGTTTAGGGTACCTCAGAATATGGACAAGGATAAAAGCAGTGTCAATTACTTCTTGGCACTATGGGGAGTTAAATATAGGTGAAAACAACTTTAGGTTTACTTCAACTTACACTGGAATCTAGAAAGCTCCTGTATAAGTCTACAGTTGAGGAAACGCAGTTAACATAGACTTAAATGATGGAATTAATGAAGGTGTTAAGGGATCTCTAATGAAGTGTCTCTGTAAACTGCCCATGGTGGTACTGTGTTTTAACTGTTGTAACTATGGTTAAAATCACACAATCCAGTCAATGTGGCTGTAAAGCCTTCACCCCAGCACAGCTACCTGTGTCTGGACTGGAGCAGTAATGACCAGATGCCACAATTTTGGTTCAAATGACCCATGAAAAAATGGGATTATGGATTTTGAATATCAGAAATGCATATGCAGTAATATCAGTGACTCTCCCAACCTGGATCTGCATGTTTACTTTTGGTTTCTCGTTAACCGAGTTGCTTTACCCTGTTGTCAGTGCACTGAATAGCCACATCTTTTTCCATGTCACATCTTATGAGTGAGAGAGTGGCAATTCCTTTTTGAAGTAAAACATTTCTTAGTTTTGAAGTAAAACATGGTTTTTAGAAGTGCCAGTGTCCCATCTGTTATGATACTATGCCACAAATTTGTCTGAACAACCAGCTGAAATTTAGCGTTATTTGGCTCTGGTGATATTTTTATCAAATCTCATTTGGGTATCAAACTCTAGGTGGCTCATCATATATGTTTGCAAAATCTTCTGCATTAGATGCTATGGGAGTATTTAATCCCCATAATTACTGATTTTAATATTTATGAGTTATAAATAAGAGCTTCCTAACTACTAATTCCTTGAAAATCCACTGTTGGTAATCAGAATCATAGAGTAGTTAGGGTTGGAAAGGACCTTAAGATTAGAATAGAATAGAATAGCTAAGGTTGGAAAGGACCTTAAGATCATCTAGTTCCAACCCCCTGCCATGGGCAGGGACACCTCACACTAAACCATCTCACCCAAGGCTCTGTCCAACCTGGTCTTGAACACCGCCAGCGATGGAGCATTCACAACTTCCCTGGGCAACCCATTCCAGTGCCTCACCACCCCCACAGTGAAGATCTTCTTTCTTATATCCAATACAAACTTCCCCTGTTTAAGTCTGAACCCATTACCCCTTGTCCTATCACTGCAGTCCCTAATGAAGAGTCCCTCCCCAGCATCCCTACAGGCCCCCTTCAGATACTGGAAGGCTGCCATGAGGTCTCCACTCAGCTGAACCAGGCTGAACAGCCCCAACTTTCTCAGCCTGTCTTCATACAGGAGGTGCTCCAGTCCCCTGACCATCCTCGTGGCCTCCTCTGGACTTGTTCCAACAGTTCCATGTCCTTTTTATGTTGAGGACACCAGAACTGCACACAATACTCCAAGTGAGGTCTCACGAGAGCAGAGTAGAGGGGCAGGATCACCTCCTTCGACCTGCTGGTCACTCTCCTTTTGATGCAGCCCAGGATACGGTTGGCTTTCTGGGCTGCAAGTGCACACTGAAGCCGGCTCATATTCAGTTTTTCATCGATCAACACCCCCAAGTCCTTCTCCTCAGGGCTGCTCTGAATCTCTTCTCTGCCCAACCTGTAGCTGTGCCTGGCATTGCTCCGACCGAGGTGCATTTGGCATGGTTAAATTTCATAAGGTTGGCATCAGCCCCCCTCACAAGTGTGTCGAGGTCCCTCAGGATGGCATTCCTTCCCTCCAGCGTATCAACCAAACCACACAAATTAGATTGTTAAACATTCATTTTTGCCTATCTTTAGCAAACTTCATGAGAAAGTATGGATCAGATCCTGTTTCTGATTCTACTGCTTAGTGCTAGTGGAAGAGAACTGGTGCTGGCTTCAAGCAGTGCCAGCTTACCACCGGCATTATGCCCTGGCACTGACACAGGGGCTGACTGAGGACAGCAAAAGATGTGGAGGAAATATACTGCAGTCTTGCAACCCCAAGCCCATGAAATTGTCTTCAGGGACTATTTCTCCTGATGTAACTCAGAGTCCTTTGGTCCAAATATTTTGTTAGGAAGTCTAACTACCCCTGATCTTGTTTCATGAGAATGAGGAGTTGAGCTGATAACTTGAAGGTATCTAATAGCTTCTTGCAGTCACAAGTGCAATGTGAGCTTGCACAAAGATATCTACCTCTGTATGAGTTCAACTGACATTAAGTAGAATAGTTAGGCTTCTGGTGTGCATTTAAAATGTGTTCAGACTGCTTTTTTATGTCATCTTTCTACAGCTGGTGCATAGAGCTACTTTTCCCAAAATGGTCTGCAAGCAGAGTAGGTGTAATTCAGACAGATCAAAGTCACCTGGTATGACATAATTTTGCCCTTCAAATGTTCTTCTTAATAATGTATTTTCGAAATAACACATTGCAGAATTATAGCAATTTGGAATGGCAGCTTCCCATCTGAATAAACATTAAGGAGTTTGCTTTTATTATTGTATTTTACTCAAGTTTGTGTTCCTCCTTACTGCAATATTGTACTTAAAATATTAAGTTACAACATTGTCCTTTAGTTTAAGCTGCTCTTCACCCCTTTGGTGTCTACTCTTCAACAAGGCTTAAATCCTACCCTTATTTAGGATGGGTCAGACAGCCACCAGCAGATAAAACTGAAACCATTTTAGAAGTTATTGCAGGTGTCTTTTCTCTTTCATTATTTAAGGTTAGTTCCTTTACCACAATGTGCACAATGAAACACTTGATATCTTTTCATCCCCTTTGAAGAAAAATCACCCTGATTTTAAATAGTCTTTACCTGGGAATTTAGGTTAAGTGGATGACTTGTGTAGAGGTAGACGATGACACTACCCTTTCCACTGACCTGGCTGAAAGAGCTGTATCATCAAACAAGGCAGCAAACATGGTTGCAATAATTTCTTAAGCCACCTCAATGATACTTTGAAGAGAATATCTTTCCAGAGCAATAATTTCTTACTTCCTTGCTTTTTGGCAGAGCCCTTTTCTGCACCTCTGTCAGCTTGAATTGACTTTTTTTGAATAGGAAGAATCTGCTATGTAATAATCCAGATGCAGTTTCAATAGCATCTCATATAACGGCATCTCCGGTAAAGTGTGTCTTGGAAAGACTGAGAGAAATAAAAAATGAAATACTGCACATATTCAATATACATAATTCTCTCTATATAGTTCTACATATATACAGGATCAACATAGACTGTATGTATTCTTTAGACAGATACATGTATATATAGAAATACATAAAAAATTAGAGAATCTAACACTGTAATTTACTTAAGCACATGTTTATAAGTTTAAGGAATGAGGAAGCTGAGTGATCTGAATTAAGTAAGTGTATAATCTAAACTTGTTGCTAAACTGGAACTATGGATAAGAAAACTTAAATGAAAATTAATAACTACTTGTACTGAAAATGAGTTTGACAAACAAAAAGTATTAATATATGTGACCACAAACACAAATGTGAAAGGACTCTCCTGCTGTTAAATGCGTGTTCCAAACCTCAGTTTACTCAGTTTACTGTTTGCTTTCTCATTTTGAATATATTTGATATGTAAGCAACTCAGTCAGAATAAGATAAAAAGATGTGACAGTTTAGTATAAATTAAGAAATCATTTCAAGCTGTGCAGAAATGTATATAACATCATGAAAACCGATGTAAACAGAAACAAAATTATTATGCTATACATAACCAGCTACTCAGACACAAATCCGATCTCTAACAACTGCTACTTAAGGGTTTTGACCTCATGAATAAAAATAAAAAATTACACTTACTAAATTTAAGCAGTTTTACTGGAAAGCAGAGACTTCCTGTAGGAATAATTAGACATTGTTAGGCCTGAGAAACAGGACAGAACTGTTCAACGGTCTTCTGTAATAGCTTTTTATCTGCAGGTTTAAGAGTCCATGATTCTGTACTACTTTACTTCAAATCAGTCCTGCAAAAACATACCATTATATCCCACCTTTTCAATAAATATAGGTATTATCAATAATTTTAATTTATTAAAGCTATACAGATTTATATTTTTTTTTTTTGTTTTTATCTCATGATAATAATGGTGCCACTCTGGATTAATGAACAGAATTATTCTGGGTATTTTGTTTGAATTCCAGGCTAGAAGCTAAATGAGACAGTAGGGGTGGTTCCACTCGGTTAATAAGCAGGTTTTGGAAGCAAGGGTGCAATTACTGAAGTAGCTGGTTTTTGGTTTGGTTTAATTTCAGCTGGAATGGTTCCCTGAGCTAGCCCTCTTCATAAACTAAGACCAGAAAATTAGTGGAAGTGGGAGTGGGCCAGGAAGAGTAAGACTTCACTCTCTCAGGCAATAATGGATTCATGTTGTGTTAAAGTGAACCTGGGAGGGACTGCAGCCTGAGCCATCAACGTTCCTACAGGACCACAAAGGTGAAAACTACTTATTCAAAGAATGATCTCTCATTTTAGGATTTTTTTTCTCAATTCAAAGTCAAATTTATATCTGCTCAGCAGTAACCCATAGAAGATGCAAATTCTGAATATCACCAAGAACTGCTTCCAAAGTATTTCATCTTCCATGTAACACTATACAAATGTGGACTTTCTGATACTCCTTTCAGTTATACTTGTTTTTCGCTGAAACATGGCCTACTGGGATACAGAGGAACTCACACCAACAGATTCCATGGTTTCAAGAGCTAATAAAAAGCATTTCCCTCTGTTGGGAAGCATATTCCTTGATACGGTGCTTTAAAACACATCTATTATTTGAAATTAAGATCTTTTAACAAGCACAGTGGACTGAATTAGTGATACTTATGCCCAAATATATGCAAACCCAGTAACATTAAAAACAATTTCATATTGTTATTGCTTTGGCAAAACTGTGATAAATAACAGGCTATTTCAAAAATAAGTCTGTACAGAAATTGGTGCATATGACTGGAAATCAGTTGTATGCTTTTCTGCTTCTCTTTTCCCAATTTCAATCAGCATGTTTTGGTCCATTAATTCATAATATTTATCTATAGATCTGAAATTCTGTTCAGGACAAGCTATGATGACTTTGCATGCAGACATATATACACATACACAAACCCCTGACTCTTAAAAAGAAATCATGCTTGATTCACACAAGCTTTAGTTACCTATTTCTGCCAGCTCAGACTATGGAGGGGGAGAATCACTTTAGCTTTAATAACCCAACATGCAGTTGTCATATTCATCCTTCTAATACAATATGCAATGTTTATCACAGTATCACAGTATGCTAGAGATTGAAGGGACCTCAAAAGATCATCTAGTCCAATCCCCCTGCCAGAGCAGGAACACCTAGATAAGGTTACACAGGAACATGTCCAGGCGGGTTTTAAATGTCTCCAGAGAAGGAGACTCCACAACCTCCGTGGGCAGCCTGTTCCAGTGTTCCGTCACCCTCACTGAGAAGAAGTTTCTTCTCAAGTTTAAGTGGAACCTCTTGTGTTCCAGTTTGTACCCACTGCCCCTTGTCCTATCATTGTTTGTCACTGAGAAGAGCCTGGCTCCATCCTCGTGACACTCCCCCTCTATATATTTATATAAGCTAATAAGGTCACCCCTCAATCTCCTCTTCTCCAAACTATAGAGACCCAGCTCCCTCAGTCTTTCCTCATAAGGGAGATGCTCCACTCCCTTAATCACCTTAGTTGCCCTGCACTGGACTCTCTCCAGCAGGTCCCTGTCCTTCTTGAACTGAGGGGGACAGAACTAGACACAATATTCCAGATGCGGTCTCACCAGGGCAGAGTAGAGGGGAAGGAGGACCTCTCTCGACCTACTAACCACCCCCTTCTAATACACCCCAGTATGCCATTGGCCTTCTTGGCCACAAGGGCACAGTGTCGGCTCATGGTCATCCTGTCGTCCACTAGGACCCCCAGGTCCCTCTCCCCTACACTGCTCTCTAACAGGTCGTTCCCCAATCTATACTGGAACCTGGGGTTGTTCCTGCCCAGATGCAGGACTCTACACTTTCCCTTGTTATATCTCATCAAGTTATTCCCCGCCCAACTCTCCAGCCTGTCCAGGTCTCTCTGGATGGCAGCACAGCCTTCTGGCGTGTCAGCCACTCCTCCCAGCTTAGTGTCATCAGCAAACTTGCTGATAGTACACTCAATTCCCTCATCTAAATCGTTGATGAATATATTAAATAATACTGGTCCCAGTACCGACCCTTGAGGCACTCCACTAGATACAGGCCTCCAACTAGACTCCGCCCCATAGACTACAACTCTCTGGCTTCTCTCCTTCAGCCAGTTCACAGTCCACCTCACTACCCGATCATCCAGACCACACTTCCTCAATTTTATGTACAGTATCACTTTGATATGCTGTTGTATAAGGGGATATGCTATTATACAAGGGAATATATGTACAGGGGGGTAAGTGAAGTAAGTGAACCGTACAGGGGGGTTGTACGAGGGGGTACAAAGTTAAACTGCTTGACTGCTTAACACTTATACCGCTCAGCAAATACCAAATACCTATTGTGCTTACCATGCAGTACCAGAGCATCAGCTGCTGATAAGGAAAGTCAGTTACTTAATTCCTGTAAAAATCCCAGCTTTTGTAACTTGGATATTAACCTGACTTCTGAAGACTGCTAGAGAGCATGTGCAGCTACTAAAGGTGAAAAGTTTAGACTGAGGAACTCACCTGCTTCATCTTGAGACCCCTGCCCAACGACCACCAGGAGGCACTGCGCACGCGCAAAGGACTTTTTGCTCATTATAATACGGAGTGGGAATAGGGCTTAAATATGTATAGGCGTTTTGAGTAAGCTAATGCATATGAATGACTAGAGAATAAATGTAAAGGGAAAACGACGCTGAGGTGTGTGTGTCTTTGGAGAAGCCATTCCCCCATGCGCCTCAGCTGAATAAATGCGTACCTACTTTACAACTTTAACGAGTTGTGGAGTTAATCTGCGTATCAACTTCAACTGTAATTTGAAGTCGCTGTGCATTTTTAGGGCACTGTCTGCAAAGCTTGACTGCAGAAGCATCTCCACAGCCTTTCAGTTCTATTCTGTATTAACAAATACAAGTTATGTCCACAACTTCAAGACTATTTTCTTTTTCTCTTCTCTATTTGCAACATCTACTTTCCAGGTGTGAACAGAAGACACATGATGCGTCCAGACCCCTCATGTAGCTGACTCTGCTGTCCCCTCACAGGGTGCACCTTGAAGCTGACCCTCAACTGCACATACAGCTACAAGACAGCCCCCACACTTGTCTGTGTGCCTGTAAAGGATGTGACTCGAGCTAAACTAACCATTACCACAATCACATACACACCTGCAACTTCATTCTGACTCTAGGTCCCAGGCTTAGGCATGATCCCTTGACACCAGCACTGCTCTCCTACCCAAGGGCACAAACTTCCTTACACCCTCCTCACTGCTGCCAAGCAGCTTCTAACACGTCTCCAAAGCCACCTATGTCCAGGCACATGTGCTACAAGGGGCTCTCCCTTGATTCAGAGAAAACTCCAGGAAGTCGTCAACAAAGTTTTAAGTTGACAAGCAGGTATTCTTTATTGTGGTGCCGGGAGACACAGGGGATAGCTCCTCCAAGCGTGTCTCTCCTAGGCATCAACCAGGCTGTGATTACATTGTTCTTAAACATACATATTTGTTAGATCACATACATTACCTTAGACAATGCCTCCTGTATGCATACAAAAATGTGGAAGTGGGCTTTCGGACCCCCAGTGGTTATTTCTTCATCACTTTGTTTTAGGATCATTGTCATATCAGTAACCACCAGGTGGTTCTGGCAAAACTCATCTTAGTAATTTTCATTTTCTCTATAGTTGCTAACAAACCCCAAGGTTCTTGAGGTTACTTATTTATGAAACTGATGTGGCCTATTGTGTACAGGGGGGTTGTACAAGGGGGTTAGACAAAATGTACAGGGGGGTTGTACAGGGGGGTTAGACAGAAGGTATGGGGGGGGGGGGGGTTGTACAAGGCGTACTGCTTAAGTCATAGCTGGCTTGACAAGCTCAGCAGATGCCTTATCAGGCAGTACTAAGATAAAACTTCCTAACGAAGGGAATAGCTCATTAAACCAGTTGGACATAGACCAGACCCATCCAGTTCCTAAAGAGCATGCATGAGGACCGGAGGTAAAAAGTTCAAGCCTGAGGAAGACTCGCTTACTTCATCTTTAAGACCCCTACCCACAAGAAGAAGACTACTTACTTCATCTGAAGACCCCTGCCCAAGACCACCAGGAGGCACTGCGCATGCGTGGAGAGCCTTTTAGCTCATTACAATACGAAGCGGGGATAGAATATGAGTATGTATAGGTGTATTGTGCGACTTTACAGGATAAATGTAAAAGGAAAACGGCACTGAGGTACGCATGCTTTTTGGAGGACCTATCCCCCGTGCGTCTTCAGCTGAATAAAGCATACCTACTTTACAACTTTAACGAAGTTGTGGAGTCTATTCCGCTATCAATTTACAACCCTATTCTTCAATCAACCCCATTCTTCAATCCACATTATTCCTCAATCAACCCCACTCTTCACCCTGTAGGCTCAGACACCCCCCAGGATGAGCCGACCACCCGCCATAAACCGGCCGCCACAACCCCTTCCCGCCCCCTCCGCCGCTTTCCCGCATCTCCAGAGGCACGCCGGGACTGGGAGCGTCACGCATACGGCGCATGCACGGCGGCTGTGCACCTGCGCACTGAGGGACTGGCGGCGCTGCGGGTGCTGTGCGCATGTGCAGAAGGCAGCGGCGGGAGCGGTGAGTTGGGGTAAGCCTCCCGGCGGAGCGGGGTGGTGATGGGGTTGGTTCGGCACGGTCTGGCGCTTAGGCGGGTAAGGGGAGGAGAGTGATGTGGCGGGGATGACCTGCTGTTGCTGCGTTCCGCTGGGAATCGGTGTAGGGCTGTGCCGCTGTCCCGGCCGCCTGCCGCTCGGTCTGCTGGCGTCAGGGCTGCTGCCTGAGCCGAGTCCACCCTCGCCCCCACGTGTGCTCAGCTGAACCCAGCCGTTAACTCTGGTGGAGGGGGGTCGTCGTTCC